GATTCGAAAAATAAACTATAGTAGTCGATTGTTATAGCAAAACATATGTTTGCTTCATCGACAATTGCACCAAACGAATATGACATGGCAAAAAGGCCTGGCCTTCCTTGAACAAATTCACATTTGACCTGTGACCCAAAAAGTCGCTTGTGGCCGAGTGGTTAGCATGTCAGGCTTCCATCCTGCACAGTCACGGTTCGAGTCCCGCTGGGATGAGAACAGCTTTGGGGAAAGCAGGGCTATGTGAAATTGAATGGAAACGGCAGCTCAACTCATATGATTGTGGGAAAATTCTTCTTCTACCAGTCCTTCATCAGCTTGAACGAAATTGAGTGAATACATCTCATATTGCTTTTTGATTTTAAAGTAATTTATTTAATCGGCTTCTCCTGTTTTGTCGCAAACCATCATTCTTTATCGTTCACAGTTGCCCCATGCAGCTGAGAAGTGGAAAGGATTTTCTTGGTTTTGTGTTTTCGTGAATTGTCGTGTCATTAAGGTTGTCTGGCTGACACGATGTCTGTCAAAGTGGGACAGACGAAAGGAGCTCGTTGCACAATCACACAATGCCACATTCACACACACACGATCATGCCTTCAAAGAAATCCTCCCTTCCGTCGGACGGCGTAGAACGAAACGAAGCCAACAGCTCCCCACTTGCATCCGTTCAGTCGATCTGCTTGCGGAATCCATGCCAAGGCATGTGTGTATGTGTGTGTGTGTGTTTTGGTATGTGTGTGCATTAGTGACCATCCTCTTCTCCTGTCTCTCTCAGACCCCGTGAGCCACGACGACAAGTTCACAGTCGCCACGACGACCCCGACAACCAAGGCTTCTTCGTTTCTGCGTCAGCCACGGCTGACGCCGTTGGTGGTGACGATCGTCTGTGCCTCGTTGGCCGACCTCGTCTTCTGGCCCAACCAACTGACCCGTCTCCTGCTCGACATGGCCGAGCCTTCGCGACCGCAGGTCGCGATGGCAACTTGGTGCTTGAACCGACTCGCCTGGCGCGGTGATCTCGCGATCCGTCGCCTCACCTGGCACTGGTGGCTGGGGCACGTCTGCGATTGACGCATCCTTTTGTCCCAGCAACACACGATCTGCACAACATACCCACTCCATCCCACACAACCTCAACTGCGTTAATACCACCACAAGCCACCCTATCCCACCCAATATAGCCCCACCGAATCCGAAAAAACACAACCCATCCCATTCCAGCTCATCTCACCAAACCACAAATAATCACATTCCGTCACACTCAGTCCCACCTCAACCCAC